TCTATTTTTGTTCTGAGATAAAAACAATGGTGCCGATGCCTGGAAAATCCGATATATTTGCAAACTTTATTGCTATGAAGAAGGACTGCAACCACTAAAATATAGTAGTGTAAAGAAATAACGTTTTATCATAATTTCATATCATTCTCTATTTTGGTTATGTTGTCGAAATTTCTTTGTATATGTTACTAGATCCTTACATGGTAACTTGTGTTTCTGATGCTTTCATAGTTGGAGAGATCAGTGTTTCCCTGAGTCCATTTGCTTTGGGAAATTGAATTAAAGCCTAGAATCATTTTTTCAGCCAAAACTGCTCCAATAGTACCTTGTATGCAAGAATATCAAGGATTGAGAAACTTCCTCACCAATAGAAAAGAATTCTTCTGAAGGAGACATTAAATACTTCAGCTTCAACTTCAACTTCCTCAATGAAGTAAATACTCAATTTATGTCCAACAATAAAAGCTGTTATTACTCATTTTCAACCTATATTATATGTTATTAACACATGGGTTACGCATTCGGATAAATGCTTCAATTCTTTATATGTAAATTTGGGGAATTCTTTGAACAATTAACATTTGTGCTCATATTGTGGCCAGAAATTCAGAAATATTACATTTTCTACTTACTCGTATTAACGTTAATATAAACACTATTACAACTTAACGTGTGCATTGCGCGTGCCACCTTCCCCCACCAACCTTTCATCCATACGATCCCACCAACCCTGGTTTTTTATTCCATTTTTAATAATTTAAACTTTAAATATTTATTATTATTTTTAAATTTGGTGATATTATTGTGTTGGGTTTTGATATCCAATAAATCCGGGCGATGATGTTAAACCGATTTATTGGATTATACTTCATAGGCCTTGGCCGATGAGTGAAGTGAAATGTCGACACCACAATCGAACAAACCATTCCTACAACTTATTCGGGCCATTTGAAGTAACCTAATTACATTAGTGTTGCTTATGCCCCGACCCATTACCTTGGTAGGCTTTTCAGTGGTAGCCCTATTATTTCCTATTGGGCATAACTATGTTCTAACCTAAAAGCCCACACTTGGTACCTATTTATACTTTTCCCCATTACTGTAGTTGGT